CTGTAAAACCGCTTAGAGAGGGCTTAAAGCCCTATGAAGCGGTATATAAGTCTACTGCTATTGCTATAAAGGCAGCTACATGAGAAGCCAACTACCTCGGGAGTAGGAGATGCTAGATACAGAAAGGGAGAGAGAAATTAGGTTAGAGGAAGCTGGATAAAGAACTCTTGTCTCACTCCTTCACCTGCACAGGTAGTCCTCGCTCTACAACCACAGCCGAGCTCAAAATTTCTGTTGCTAAGCGAGACATTTGTTAAGTGAGTTTTGCCCCATTTTGCGATCTTTCTTGCCACGGTTGTTAAATGAATCGCTGCGGTTGTTAAAGTTAGCAACATGGTTGCTAAGCGAATCCAGCTTCCCCGTTGACTTTGCTAGTCAGAAGGTCGCAAAAGGAGATCCCAAGACCCCGGGATACTGCAACTGTCATAAATATGAACCAGTTGCCAAGCGTCTGAATTTTGATCGTGGGATTGCGGCAACGGTCATACGTCACTTTTTTCAATGCCGATGTAACTTTGAATTGTCTCTAAATGAACTGTTGTATGTTGAGGACTACCTATACAGGCCAATTGCCAAGCATTTGAATTTTGATCACAGGATCATGGGGATGCTGCAATTAGTAACTACTAACTGCAACTAGTAACATTGATCAATTTTGGATTGACTCATATCAAATGATAATCCCTGGTAGTGTATATTTTAAAAAAATACATTAGTGTGAACTTCTCAAATTGGTACCTCTCACATTGTTGAAACTGCAATTATTATTGGTCAGACTAGGTGAAATTCTAGTAGTTGCGTCATGACTTACATGTGGATTGCTAGAGGTATCACCTCCTCTAAAGAGCAGCCTCTTTTGGCTTGAAGGGGACAGAGTAAAGTATAAATTTCTCTCTTGTTTGACCTAAGGTTGCAAGTAGAATGCAAGACCAAATTACCTGTAGAGATAAAATGTGGGGAAAGAATGTTTAAATGTTGCTTATAATGTACCCATTTATTTTCCAAATCGACTAACGGAGATTTCTTGTTTCAGCATAATTTCTTATCAGACTTTACCAAGGAATATGCCAAGCCATCGAGCCCAAGTCGTGCCTCGTTATCCAGAAGGTTATCGCACTCTTCCAAGAAATACTAAGACCAGGCCAGATAGCCTTTGCAGTGTTTACGATAAGACCCTTGGATCCTTGCCAGCGGAAGATAAAAGGAGATCGATGCGAGATGACACCATGTGGCAACTCTACGAATGGCAACAACGGCAGTTTTACAATAAGCAAACGACTCTGACCAGACACGGTACTTTAAGTAGCCCCAAAACCATGATTAATATATCTGATCAAGCAATGCATTTGATTCCCACATCACCTTCCCATGGTTCAATAGCAGGTTTCCAAGGATACTCCCCTCAGAGGAACTACAGGTCGGAAGTGTCCTCACCGATACAGAGAGGAGATGTCACCATTGAGCGTCGACACAGACCTCATCATAACAAGGTGAGGGCTTTTGCTTTCTACAACTTGCTGCAATTTATGTCCTTCTAAAAGATAGACCAGATGCACAGCAGCCACTGCAGAACAGCCATCTCTTATTTACAATTTGCCTATAATATAGATAATCCTCTACAGCAGTTACAACATCTAGAGTACTGCATCCAGGTTTGGTCACCACAGTATAAAAAAGATGTGGAGACTCTAGAAAGAGTGCAGAGGAGAGCAGAATTGGTCAAAAAAATTGACTCTGGTCAATTGACTTACAACTGAAATTCCAGGATCGATAGTCGTCATACATTGAGGACTACCTGTAACTATAAATATGATACTTGTTCCAAATATTGATATTTTAGGAAGAGAGCTGTGATTAAGGCCACACCTAGAATACTGCATCCAGTTTTGGTCACCATACTATAAAAAAGATGTTGAGAGACTAGAAAGAGCACAGAGGAGAGCAACCAGGATGATTAGGGGACTGGAGGCAAAAAGGAATACAATGATAATGATAATAAAATACAATGAATGGTTGGAGGAACCGGGCAGGGCTAGTCTAGTGAAGAGAAGGACCAGGGGAGACACGATAGCAGTCTTCCAATATTTGAGGGGCTGCCCCATAGAGGACGGGGTCAAGCTATTTTGCAAAGCCCCTGAAGGCCAGACAAAGAATAATGGATGGAAAATGGTCAAGGAGAGATTCAACCTAGAAATAAAGGAAGAATTTTCTGACAGTGAGAACAATCAGTCAATGGAACTGTTTGCCTTTGGAAGTTGTGGGAGCTTCATCACTGGAGGCTTTCAAGAAGAGACTGGACTGACACCTGTCAGAAATGATGTAGGGGTTCCTGCTTGGGCTCTTGATCTGCTTCCCAAACTCTTGAAAGTTTTAAGCAAAGTGTAGGGGGAAAGCATACCAATAAATACGTCAGGATAACACATTTGAGCCTCTGTAGTAATTTTTCTTATCTATTCGCTGCCTTGAGATCGTCATCAAAATAAGGTGGCAAATAAGTGCTACCATAAATATGGTTTTTAACATCAGAAAGGTGCTGTCCTCCAGAACATCTTGTTATTTGCAAAGTTTTGAGACGAAAATGCAACATTTCAGGATGTTTGTACTGACAAAATATTAACCAACACCTTCGCTTTGGACTCTTTTCATAAATCATAAATTGACTCAGAAAAGCATGTTAAAAATATTTCATTTAACCTTTGGTTCTAAAAGCCCTGAATTACAAAGCCCATGGTTTGTTTTGTGTTTTTGTTTTCCTCCCCTCCCATAGCAGCATGGCTTTGTCCCTGACAGAAGGTCGATTCCAGCTGGCTTGAGCGTGCAGCCTATTACTCCCCAGAGCTTGCAAGGCAAAACTGTGAGTGGCATTTTTATATTTAGCCCATCATTTTTTTTTTAATTTAAGAGCAACCTATAAAATACAGCATACAGTCTGACAACTGTTCTAGTTGCGGGGGTCCACATTAAATGCAATTTCCTGTCCTGATTCATTCGGGAAATAAAGGATATCCTTTCCCACAGGTCAATTCTGTCTGCGTATCTTAAATTTTGCAAGGGTAATCTGTTCTTACTTTGTTTCAACCAGGAGTAGTAGTCACTTACCTTCCCTACTGCTCAGTCTTCCGCGCATCCGCTTTTGGCTAAAAAAGGCCCCATAGAGTCGGGGAGGATGGGCGGGGCCACCTGCAAATTCTGCTATCGGTTCGAGTGAACTGGTCTAACCAGTAGAATACCACCTCTGGTTTCAACTGTTGTTTGACCTGCATATTTCCTGTTAGGGAAGGATGTAGACCAGTGGTAGTCAACCTGGTCCCTACCGCCCACTAGTGGGCGTTCCAGCTTTCATGGTGGACGGTAGGGGTTTGCTGTAACTCTGCTTTATAAGTTTTATAAACTTCCCTACTTTATAAATCACCATTACTGTGGAACTGGTGGGCGGTTAGAAAATTTTAATACTACCAGAAATACAAAAGTGGGCAGTAGGTATAAAAAAGTTGACAACCCCTGATATAGTCACTTCCAGGACCACAGTCGAGAGCACTTTTAAATATTTTATTTTTTGTCTGCTTCACTTACCATTGAATGATAAAGAGGAAATGCCAGTTACTGAAAGTTTTTATTATTTCATGATGGGAGGCCCAATTAGGTAGAAAAATTGCTGCTCTAAGGCAATTGGTTATGTATTGTGCTGTCGTATGACAAAGTTATTTACCCTGTAATTGAAATTTTATTCACATCATTGGAAATACTTGACAGTTATGTATCAAAGACTTAGTTCACAGATTATAGATTTCGGCAGACTTTCCCAAAAATTCATTTAATTCAACCATGACTACATTTATTTATTTTTCTTTTTGAGTATGTTTCTGTGTATTTTAAGGTTTTCTTCAAATGAAATACTGATGGATTACATACACAGATGTAAGCATGTAGTAGAATACGCAAGGACTTCCACTCAAAATACTCAAGGAAATAATAGTTTATTAGTATAAAACATAGTAATGAAGATAAGATAGCTCCCTCTGCTGGGCTTTGTTAAATACAATCAGAGTTGCTAATATTGTGTGCTATGAATATACTTTTAAGTCTTATAATATACTTAATATACTTTTACTTTTAACACCATGCAATGTGGATGTTGAAATCTAAAACTGTAAAAAAAAAAAAAAATTGAGGGCCTAATTCCAAGGCTTCTGACCAGCCCTATTCGTCTATACCAGATGCATCTACAAAGAATGGGATATTCTCATCAGATATGAGAACAAGTCCTTGGCTCAGGAAAATTGAACATGGCACATTATAGAAAGGTTACAGTTTGCTATACAGAAAAGATAAGTGCTTGGTGACTATAAAGTTATTTGGGAGTTGTTGATACATGAATCAGTGTGATGAGATTCATTTGTAGAAATACTAATATCACTCTATAAAACCTTAGTAAGACCACACCTAGAATACTGCATCCAGTTTTGGTCACCACACTTTAAAAAAGATGTTGAGACTGTAGAAAGAGTGCTGAGAAGAGCAATCAGGATGATTAGGGGACTGGAGACTAAAACATATGATGAACGGTTGCAGGAACTGAGTATGTCTTGTCTAGTGAAGAGAAGGACCAGGATAGCAGTGTTCCAATATTTGAGGGGCTGCCACAGAGAGGAGGGGGTCAAGCTATTTTCCAAGGTATCTGAAGGCCAGACAAGGAATAATGGATGGAAAGTGATCAAGGAGAGATTCAACCTAGAAATAAGGAGGAATTTTCTGACAGTGAGAACAATCAATCAAAGAAGTTGCCTTTAGAAGCCACTGGAAGCTTTGCAGAAGAGACTGGGTATTTTCTATCAGAAATAGTGTAAGGTCTCCTGCTTGGGTGGAGGGGTTGGACTAGATGACCTACTGGTGGGGACTTACATCAATCTCAGCAGTACTTCAGGAGCATAAAGGAGGCAGTTTTGGAAATGGAAGACTAACAGTCAAAAAGACAAATAATGAGAAAGCTGTCTGTAAATAGCTGAAATTGGGATCCACAATAGAATGTCATATGTATGAAATGTTATTAACCCGAATATGAATTTTTCTGTTTAAGCAAAGGACACATAACAGCAAATTAGCAAATTAGATCATTCGAGTGAAGGAGAATTGTCTGTCTTAAAATATTCACGTTTAGGATTCTCCTTGGCACTAGAAGCTTGTGGAAAAGTAGAGCAGTTTTTTTTCTTTCTCCAGACATAAGATTTTGTTTAAAACTGCTACACATCAAATAAAAATAACTTATTCGGAAGCATTGGCTGTATTCATAGTTTAATATCGTGTTTCCCTGAATATAAGACAGGGTCTTAGTCTTTTTCCAACCTTAGAATCAGTTAACAGTTTCCACAGCTTTCCCTACTTTTCTGAGAAAATAATCAAGGCATTTGGATACACACAGCCTCTTCATGGCTTTTCCCCCAGGGATGGGGGAACCTTTGTGGGATGGGAACCAAACCAAGTTTGACTACCATATGCACAAAATAAAACTAGCTGCAGTAACACCCGTTGTCATCCTCGTGGCACGACAAAACCGTGGTAGACTAAAGCGTGCCCGACGAAAGCGCGTATGTGACGTCATCAGCAGCTTGACGAAAAAAATTAAAAATAAATTAAATTAAATAAATTAAACCGCGCTTTCGTCTATCGCGGTTTTGTGGTGGAACCGTCATCCTTCTATTTGATTCACTGGAGGAATTCACTCCAAACTGGTTCCCCCCCTGGTTGAGACTGTTTTTGTTGGAAAGCATCCTCGGTTCCCTTACTCCAAAGGGACTAAACATAACTTGGTTATACTATACTGGCTAGCATTGTTGAATGCAAGTGTAAAACCGAAGTTTTGTCTAGGACAAGAATGAACTAATTTTCCACTGTTGGCTTCTTACCCAATGTTCCTTTAGCCAGAGGAGCTCACTCTGCTGCTTATAAAGCTGAGAAGGCAGCAGGCCGAACTGAGTAGTATCCGGGAACACACATTAGCACAACTCATGCAGCTAAAACTTGAGGCCAGCAGTCCAAAGGTCAGCTATGAACTGATGTTTCTCATGTGCCATTTTCCCCTCATTCCAACACTGTAGCCTTGGGCCGCCATCTCCTAACTGTGGATTTTACTTTCCTGATTGTCTGTGGTGTTCTGCTATCAACCCTTTGAGTTCTGGTGTGAGATACATTGATCTCCAAACGAAGAGAGTAATTCAAAAGGCATTTTGCTGTCATGAACTCTTAAATTATGCAAATTTCTAGATGACACCCAATTCTGAAACCAGAATAGGTTAGAAAAGGGCCGTAAATACAATCTGGCATAAAGCGTTTCATTCTCTTTTTCTCGTGCCTGCGACAAACTTACAAATTGGTGTTTTGTTTTGTTTTTGCTGCAGGAAATACATCCACGCGTATCAAAGGGTTTATAGTTTGAATGGATTTAACATGATGTATTGTGGGTTTTTTTCTTCATTTTGTTTTAATATCGAAAGCTAATTTTTGTAGCTAATAAGACTTGTTGAGAGCAATTGCAACCGTATTTAACTTAACCTCACTAATTAAATTAATTCATTAAAATTAATTTAAAGGCCAGTATGTTTTTTTTTAAAAAAAATTTAGTTTCTGTATGCCAATGAAACATTACTTAATCCATCTAAACGCCAATGTCAGTTTTGCAGTTCTCAGTTTTCGCTGAGTTTTACTTATGACATCTGCAAGTATAATCTTAAAATTGTTAAAAGTTAAGATGTGTGGTGTCCTTTTCTTTCTTGAATGACTTTTTCACCTCTTCGTATCTGTCCCTTTCTTTCTTTCTTCCTTCCTTCCTTCCTTCCTCTCTGAATGCTGGTTGCTAGAATGAGATTCTTTCTCATCATCTCCAAAGGAATGCCATTTATTTGGACCACCAGGTGGGACTTAAAGCTTCTCTTTTGTATGTTTATATGTAAGAATATGTTGATTCTTTTTTGTCACTTGGAACTTGACAAAGTTGCTGAAATCCTGCTACCGTTTTAAAATAGTGGGAAAAAGTTCCTGCAGCGGTTAAGTGGCACAATTTTAATTGCCAAGACACCTCTCTTGCTCCTATTGGTCTATTGCTAGATCTCCCCAAAAATGTACCATATCATTTGGGATGTGCTATTTGAATTACTACATGCAATCCTCAACTTACAGCCATTCATTTAGTGATTGTTTCAGTTCAGTGATCATTCAGTGCAGTTACAACAGTGCTGAAAAAAGTGACTTGCAACCCGTTCTCACACTTACAATTGTGTTGCAGGCATCCCAGTGATACCCGATAAAAATTCTAGCACTTGGCAACCAGCATGTATTCATTTAATGATTGCAAGATCCCAGAGTCTTGTGGTCGCCATTTGCAACCTTCCCAATCGGCTTCCAACAAGCAAAGTCAGTGGTGGAAGCCAGGTTTGCTTAATGATCACGTGACTCTAATAACATCTGCAGTGGTTCACTTAACAACCATAGCAAAAAAAAGAGGTTGTAAAATCAGGGGTGGCACACTTAAAAACTGCCTTGCCTAGCAGCAGAAATTTTGGTCCCAATTACAGCACTTAGCAATAGCACTTAGACTTATATACCACTTTACAGTGTTTTACAGCCCTCTCTAAGTGTTTTACAGAATCCAGCCCAACAATCTGGATCCTCATTTTACCCACCTCGGAAGGATAAGTCACCCTTGAGCCTGGTGAGATTTAAACTGCCAAATTGCAGGCAGTCAGCAAAAGTAGCCTGCAGTACTGCACTTTAACCACTGCGCCACTCACAATTATGGTTTTAAGCTGAGGACTTCCTGTAATTTGTGTGGTCCTTTCTAGAATGCTAATGGCAAAATTAAGACATTTTAGGGATAGTTAATTCTATTTCTTCCACTGACTATTTGTTTTCTGAATTAAATATTATTATTAAACTCGGGACACAAGTCTGTGCCATTATATTTATATACTGCAGATGTTTTCCCTTACTTAGAACAGGCTTCACCAAATGCAGCTGACAAAAAAGGAAAATCTTGCCATTATCTTTTTGTGACTAATGTCTCTTTGCTAAAGAAATTGGGAGTTCTTTCCAGATTTCTACTTTTCCTTTTTCATCACCATCTGTCTTTGCAATCATAAAGCTAAATTTTTGATTGAAATGCTGTTCAGCCAACGTTAGCCCGCAGTGGGATACGCTGTCTACCTGAGGCCGGCCAACATTTTTATTAATTGGACCCAACATAAAATCTCTTCGTTTTGTAAACTTTTTACTCGAAACGTAAAGGTTTGCAATGCACACTACTGTGATGTGCAGTCAGAGTGCTCATACTGTTTCCTTTAAAACAGTTTGAAACATGAAACTCAATTAACTTCATATCTTAAGAATTTTGGTGGCGTCTCAAGCGAGAAACTTGCAGGATTTTTCATTCAGCCTGCCCAGAAATAAAAGTTATACATTCGGAACCGTTTGAAGTGAAACACTTTTACAAACTGTTAATCTGCAGGAGAAAATGGCAAGCATTTTCAAGGATGCTAAAAACAGATTAGCATTCCCTAAGTAGTGCTGTTAATATCACATGTTCCTTGAAGAGGCTGGTTTTCATATTATTGTACAATATATATTGCTCAATATGTTTTTGAAGCAAATATATATATATATTTAATAAGGTACGACAGTTAAATCTGTTCTGTGAAATGAAATTTAGGGAAGTCCCTGCTTCATTTAAAAGACGGGTTTTATGGTGGCTCTGGGTAACGCTGACACCAGATTTTCAGCTGTCTGCAAAATTTTGACAGACTGGGTTTGCCTGCTTATCCTAGCAATGCTGAAAACTGAATTGGATTTCAATGCATGCGGGAATTAATGTGCAATAATTTTAAGTCATGTTGCTGGATTTCTTTGGGCAGCTTAAAATATTCAAACTAGATGCAGTAGGCTTGTATTTACATTCATTCCAGACATTTGTTTTAGAGCGGACTCTATTCTGAGTCGTTTTAGGAATAACTCTGAATAACCCTTGAAAGACATCAATTTTCATTCTTCCCTCGTATCAATACATCAGTGATCAGATCACTCAGAGACTCTGAAATAGCCCAGTTTTAGCACACTGGAATTGCGATTAAGTCAATGTCTCCAGAGACTCCCTATCTGCAAGGAACCTCTACATCCCGCTGAGTTTTTTAGATGTATTGCTGCAGTTTCGCACAAGCTTTTGCTCTGCTGGATCCTTGGTGCTCACCAAGCTTGGTTATTTTCTTGCAGACATTTCATTGCTTCTAGCACTTGATGATGTTACCTAATTTGGTAATGAAACCTCTGCAAGAAAATGTCTGTGGAGGTTCTCAGTCATCCAGGTCATAAGTTGTCCCAAAACATCTGCTTTGAAGATGTTTCGCTTCTCATCCAAGAAGCTTCTTGGATGAGAAGCAAAACATCTTCAAAGGAAAACAAGAAAGTCTCTTGAAAAAATCACCTTTGGCTCTGCAAGAAAAGCACTCAGTTTAGAGTGCACCAAGGACCCCACAGTTCAACCCTGAGCTACGGATATTTTCTTCTATGGGTTTTGGCTCTGCTATTATCCTGAATACGGGATCGGTCAACTCGCTGTGGGACAATTCAACAAGTACAAATGTTAAAATAATTTCGACGGACCCATGGCCAATAATAATAATAAAATAAAGCCAATCCAGAAAGAGTTATAATAATTTTGACAAAAGCATGATCACTAATAAGAAAAGTACCTGAATTCAACAATTAATACAGGGTTGAATTGTCCCGCGGAGAATTGTCTTGCAGCGAGTCGGCTGTGGCAAATTGCCCTAGACTTCCTGAACAGACATTTCATACTTCCTGTCTGAAGTGTGCGCATCACAGGCCTATTTCTGAATAAAAACGATGGTAGTTTTGACAGCTGAGAGCTGGTGTTACATTAATTCAAACATTCCCAGTAAATCATTATTAAGCAAATGGATTGAAATTGAAATTGCTACATCAACAGAAACTGTTCTCTGAGATTAAAAACACATCCATGTTTTTTTGTCCCTGCTTCACATACTACCATTTGTTGTACACAATAGAATCTTTGCAACTGACAGAAATGAATTAAAACTCTGAAAGGCAATCTGCCTTCCCTTGTACTAACAACAGCCACAAAACCATTGGCATGAATAAAATATTGGTACCTAAGAAAACATGCAACATTATTTGTATTTAGGAAAAATATATAATTGACTCTTATTAAACCTGTTGCATTAAGTAACAGCCCTCTTTTTTTAATAATGTTGGAACAGATTGTTAGAATGGGGAAAAATATCTGCAATTTAAAAAGAAAAACCAGCCCTTGGTTAAGCGAGCTGCCTTCCTCAGATGCACATAGAAAATCTACCATAGTTTGGCACTGACCTCTTAGCCAGTTATTGCAATTCTATTAACAGTTCCCATCTCTCATTTCAGTGTATATCTTCTGCCATTTATTTCCTGGTTTTCATATTGCAATGCCAAGTTGTTTTCATCTTTTTCCTAAGTAAATAGATCAGTGGAATCGGGACACATATAAACTAAAATTCCACTTGTATATTGATGCATTTTCTTGAATGGTATTAAACGGATACACCATGTTTTAGTTGAAACAAATCCTTAAAAGCTCTATGTCAAGAGCACTCACCCACCTTTTTTTTCCAATGGAGTTAGAAAGTCCAATAAATGAATTGAAAGTATTCAGAATTTTCTGTTTGGTCTTACGACTTCCAAAACTTTATTACTGATCAATATGGTAATAAGCAAACATGGCTTACAAAGCAGCTAATATAAATAAATACTATTAAATAGTCATCAGTTATCATAACAGAAAATTGAGGCTGAAGTAAATACATTAATACGTTTTCAGAAAAAAAACTATTCATATTTATAATATTATATTGAAGGTCATGAAATGTATATGAAAATTAAATTGGCATTCATTGAAAAAAAAAGCTTATAGTTTACGCCGTAGAATAGTAATATAACCACAATTCTTGCTGGCCATATTTCATACATGACTTATCTTAGCTCTACACCTGGACCTACTCTAGGGTTGGGAAGAGAAAAAGCTACTTTAACAGAGAGAAAAATTGAGTGAAGCCATTCAATCTCCAAGTTGGTGCATCATTGCTACCTTAGGTTTTAAAAGATTGGCTCCAAAAACCTCTATTTTGCCCAGAACAGGTCTTTATATTACACAGCTTTTTTATCCTACACTCTACTACATGTCTTAATCTTTGCAAATTGAGTATATGTAAACAGAGTAATGAAAATAGCACCTTATTCATCTCAATTAATTATGTTCTGTCTCGGGAAGCTTTCTAGAATCTTATTAATGATATTTATTGCTTAATCTAATACGGAATAATGTACACCAATCTAGTTTAAATTCATAGATATTTTTTTTCCCCCAGTTTAGTTTAAACGAGCTCTTTGGAATGTACAAGTTTACTAATCATGAGAGGAATTATAAACTGCTGCACTAATGGAAAACAATTAAAGTAGAGGCTATATTTACAGTGTCGTCTTTCAAATCTAGCCGTGCTGTAAACTGATGTTTGCTGTATGCTCCTCCTGATTTGAAATAGATGAAAGAGAATGAACCTTTAATCATCTTGGTTCACACTATGATTGAGAACTCGGCGCTAAGACCACAACTGTACCATCAAGTAAGGTCTTGGATAGTGAATGAAATTGCTTTTTCTCATTGCAAAACTTTTCCTCAGTGACAGTTTTTGGTTGTTCCCCTCCAGTTTATCCATAACATTGGTGTTCCTCCCCTGTTTTTGTTTTTTGGAAAAACCACAAATCATCCATGCTTCCTACAATGTTGCAGTATCACTAGCATGGCTTTGCTGAACGTACTTGTCCTTGACTATTGAGTGTCCCCCGCTCCCCTCCCTTTGGATAACCTATCCCCCCCCCCTTTTTTCCAGAATATTTAACAAATGACTGCTTTTTGTAGGTAAACCCCATATATTCTGCTTCCGACATTTGTCCTAGCATGGATCTATACAATCTCCTTTTTCTTTTTTTTCTTTTGCCTTTGAAGGAATTAATCTTGGTTTAATGCAAAAGCATGCCAGCCGTGTTGTCATTTTCTGGCAGCTTTTTGTTCCAGGGGGGAAAAAAAATTACTAAATGTTATAGGTTCCTGGACAATTGCGTGCTTTCCTTCTCTTGCTCGTTTTCTTGTCGCTCTTGGGAGTTAAAAAGGATCAAAATCATTTTGATCTGGGGAATATAGCTCCTTAAGAGCACTATGTTCAGAAAGTCACAGCAAACAAAGCCAGTCTTGAGTCATGATTATAAAAGAGAGGAAATTATGCTGAATGGAAATATAACATCAACAATATTTGTTAGAAAATCATTGGGATAATCATTTAAACTTGAGCATCCTATATTTCACAGAATGCCCAATAAATTGATTGGTAATGGGGATCTGTTTCCTTTTTTTACACATAAAGCCTTTTTTTCCAATTTATGATCTCAGGGGCTCCCAAGTTCCAAACTCAAATTGAACTCAAAATCTGACCTTGGACCAACATGGAAGATCATTGATGCCTATGAACAGAGAGCATTCAACTTTCTTTAGTAGCTGAATAACAGAGAGCTTGGACAGATTCGATTCTTGACCCTGTAGGTGTGGTAGATAAACCTGGACGTACCAGATGTGTTTCCTAGGTCCTACCGTGTTTCCCCGAAAATAAGACAGGGTCTTATTTTCTTTTAACCCCCGAAATTAGAACTTGGCCTTATTTTTGGGGAGGTCTTATTAGTTTTGAGGCAGTGGGCATGGCTGCTGCTGTGTTGCAATATTTTCAGGGAGGGCTTATTTTTGAGGGAGGGCTTATTTTAGTGCATGCTCTCAAAAGCACAATTGGGCTTATTATCCGAGGAGGTCTTATTTTTGGGGAAACAGTGTAAATAAATCTATTTAGGAAAATACTTGGCAACCTTAGTGGTTGCCAAGATTCCACAACTTCAGGGACCGTGGTGTTCTCTTTATGAACAACCATTGTGCTATTACAATTTTGCTCAAACATGTGGGCTTTAGCTAGATTTTAAGTAAGCACCACTTCTCATTGAGAATTACCGTGTTATTATTTTTTTTTTAAATAAACTAATGTATAATGTGCAACGTTACAGTGAATAAACATCTTGGCTTCACTTTCTTAAACTTTTCTGAGGCTGGATAGGTTGCTAACGATCAACAGCCAAGTGTGGAAAATAAAATTCTTAGGAAGGTTTTGATAAAATGAATTTAATAGAAGTTTAATAAAATGAAAAGAATATGAAGAAAGCACAGGTTCCTCGTTGCTATCTTTTTCTTTGCTTAACTCTACTTAACTAGTTTCACTTTTTCCCAAGCTGGAAATATTGATTTGTCTTTCAGTAAATCATTTTGTAGCTGATTATCTTACGTGGGGTTTTGAGGAAGGAAGGAGCTACCCAAGGGGATCTTTAGCATGGGCGAGCAAGCTGAATTGAATGAGCAGCTGGGAATAGTTGCTTTCAAGGTTTAATCTGCTATGTTTGGCATGATCCCTCTCATACCCCCCTCCTGCCAAGCTTGAAGGGATGGGTCACAGCTGTCTGGAGCTGAAGTTGACCTCCTGGTGGTTATATGAATACACCCATGCAGTTTTCTTGGCATCTAGACAGCCATTCCCTTCTTGGAGGCTCTGGGTGAGAAGTCTTTTTCCCCATCTTCCCAATGTCGTTTATGGTTCTAGAATTTCTTGCTGGATTCTGATCCAAGTACCAGTGAGGTCTTATCTTGTTTAGCTTTTTGAGATCAGCTAAGGTCAGCTCAGTGCCACTTGTTGGTGTCAGTTACACTAGACCAACTAGAAATCAACTCCGCAGGAAGGCTATTTTATATTGAGAGTGGCTATAATGGTTCCACCACAAAACCGCGGTAGACTAAAGCGCGCTCAACGAAAGGGCGTACGTGACGTCATCACAGCGCGACAAAAACATCGCGCTGTGAGCGGTAAATTTAAAATTAAAGCGAAAACCTTACCCTAACCCCCCCAAACCTAACCCTAAACCTAACCCTAAACCTAACCCTTAACCTAACGCTAAACCTAATGCTAACCCTTAACCTAACGCTAACCCTAACCCTAACGCTTAACGTAACCCTAAACCTAACCCTTAACCTAACCCTTACCTTTATGTGAATCGGCTTGCTTTAATTTTATTTTAATTTCAATTTAATTTATTTTTTATTTTTTTCGTCGCGCTGCTGATGACGTCAGGTACGCGCTTTCGTCGAGCGCGCTTCTGTCGACCGCGGTTTTGACGGGTCACTGGCTATAATATCAGACTTCTGCCAACCTAGCAGTTCAAAAGCACGTAAAAATGCAAGTAGAAAAATAGGAACCACCTTTGGTGGAAAGGTAACAGCGTTCTGTGCACCTTCAGCGTTTAGTCATGCCAGCCACATGACCACCGAGATGTCTTCGGAGAGCACTGGCTCTTCGGCTTTGAAACGGAGATGAGTACTGCCCCCTAGAGTCGGAAACAACTAGCACATATATGTGAGAGGAACCTATACCTTATAATATCAGAATCTTGCAGGTTTGATTGTGTTATTAAACCCCCTCCTACTTTTAATTCAGTGAATTAGGGAGGTGTCTGTCTGGGCTTTTTCTGAACAGTAACTGTCTGTTGTGAACTTAAAGTATGTTTTATACCGTGACAACAGAGATAGCGTAACTCTGTCAAGCTCATCTTCCTTACTCTACAGCTGGGGTGGCTTTCAACATACCATCTTTATCGATTGCAAATATTTAATTCAGAACATCCAGATGGTAACTGGGGGAAATATATTTGCAGCTTTTAATCAATTAGCTTGCACTGAATGATTTCCTTTAAGATCAGAAATGTTCCCATAGTTTCAAGTAGCTAAAAATACTCGAATTATCCGCAAGGATATATAAAAAGAGGGAGTAAAGTGATCTTTGAAATGAGCAAGGTATTTATGACAGAAAAGTTAGCACCCCAAAATGCATTTTCTGAGCAATTCCCTTTGCATGACTCCTTCCTAGTTTTTTACTCCTAAACGCAACTCTTACACTTCAGAAGCCACTATTCTCTGCCCAGGCTTCTGCAGCTGGCCAAGATGATACCAAGATGGCGAAATGAACCCCATGTCATGATTTAAGTACTGCTCCTTTACACATGCCTCGTGATATGCAAGGATATAAGGAGAAGAGTATACATGTTGATGTCAGAACACCAGAGGTGGGTTCCTACCTCTCCAGCCCACTTCGGCCCAACTGGTAGGGGTATGGCAGCGTGGGTTGCTAGAACCAGCAGTGAGCCAGGCCTGCCACGCCCCCGAACTAGTTCCCCGGTCAGTGGTACCATCTTGTTTTTAAGTTCCGCGCATGCGCAGAACAATTTTAATTGAGCTGTGCATGTGTGCGTAAAGCACGTGCACAAAAAAAACGGCAGTAAAGCCGGCCAGAACCCACCCCTGCAAAACACATTTCATCATTGGCCTCTCCCCACCCCTTCCCCCACTGATGCCCACGGCTCTCTGTGGTTCGTAAGAGGTTGAGCCAAGTGGTTGAAACAGATTTTCAAATCTGCTTGTGATCTCATGAGGCTTCCTACTTTGAGTTGCATCCCATGCCTGTTATTTGCCAACAAAAGACAAATGACTTATTTTTAAATTTTCTGACAGGCAGACGCTTACCATATGGTGAATTTGGAGAATGTATGGAAGCCCCAGTGTGAGGGTAAACCTGGCATTATTGATGCCCTGCTCCCCCAGATGTTTCCAAATTGAGGAAATTGGTGGAAGCATAATAGCTGGTTGCCCTCTACAGACTTAGAATCCATAGAACTCACCATGTCCCATTGCCGTCACACGACATATCACGTTTTTCCCTTCGCAGAGCTGGGGTGGGCGTGGCCTGCATGTGACGCATCCAGCCCATGGGCTGCCAGTTTGACACCCCTGCAGAGGATATGCTTTCCAAGCAGTTGTTAGGGGAAGTGCCTCGTTGTTTGTGAAGTCCAAAAGTTTGAAGAGGGAGTTCTTTTGTTAATCCATTTTTGTCTGTGTTGCCAAGAATTATTTAGGAATATTCTGTTTTATTTCATTTTACTAAGCTTCCAGGTGCAAAGTTATTGTCAGAATAAGATAGGAAATGATAGTTTTAGGGCATCATTTTGAAAGAAGACATTCTACTAACTACATTTTCCGTAATTCTCAGCACTTAGTAATACCAGAATCCTCAGCCCGAGGGCACTTTGGACCCGTCCAAAGGCTCATTTTGTTTAATTCTGCATTTTAAATATTAGCCTTGATATATGCCATTTCCAGAATAGCTATCATGATAAATTCATCTTTTTAAAATAGTACTTAGCAAACATACGATATATTGCTGTTATAATCTATCGAAAGTAATAGTTATAAATCCCATGTGTTCATTGTGGCATTTCGACTGCATTTGAAATGGTTCTTTCCCCTCATTACTCTCTCAAAGTTGCCAAAGTTTTCTAGTGCCCCTTAGGCTTCATGCTTATTTCTAAGCAGCATTTTTAAATAATGCCTGTACAAAAAAAAAAATCAAGTTGTGAGGTGTCATGAATATAATTGTCCTGTTTCTTATGGAATACCTGGAAGATGCAGGTATTTTCTGAGGAGAAGCTGGTAGAACTGTATTGGTGAAAAAGGTTTTGATCTCGGCAATTGGAGCCATCCCAAAACAGTTCTTGATCTAGATGGGGCCAGTGTCTGTTTTGGCATTAAGCCATTTCCAGCACCCTAAAATAGCGCCCGCCCCCACCTTTCGGGAAACCCAGGGACTGTTACTGTTTCCACGGAGATAGGATTTTCCATGGACCAGAGTGGGCGTGGTTTCGCATGTTGCCTGCATCCCGCGGATGGGGCTTCTCTTATATCCGCGACCCAGTTTCTGGCATGCCATAGTCAGGTGCCGGTCCACCAACCGGTGGTTGGGAGATTCTTGCCCTAAAATAGTGGGAAAACACTATCACCTGTTTGGCAGGTAATGGACAGTCTAGAATACAGTACTGTTGTTTGGGCACTAGATAATACTGTTCCTTGAGTCTTTATGGGGGTTTTATTATATGTTTGAACATGGATCGTGCCTTAAATCATCTAGGCACTTTTTGAATAAAAAGTTGGAAATGGGGCCTTTATCTTTTCCTTAGATTTCAGAATGAGTTATCTTCAAGGCACTCTATTTTGCCCATCATTTAATCATTTAAATCAGGGGTGTCAAACTCGCGTCGTCACGTGAAGTCTCACAACTTTTTTTCTCCTCCACCAAACTGGGCATGGGCGTGGCCAGTCTGTGACATATCCGGCCCGCGGGCTGCGAGTCTGACACCCCTGATTTAAACGCTGTTGCTGCTGCCTCTTCTTTTTGAGTTTCAAATATCCCTCCCTCAACTATCCTCTAAAAATGGATGATATTAGATTAGTTAATAGAGTGAATTTGCTTTTTTCCATTTGGAAAGTTATTTCCCTCTTCAGCTGACCTTATTTTAGAATACGTAGATGTTTACAACATTTTTCAACATTTGATAGAGATCTGAAGATACAGTGGACAAGCTGTCATTCCATGAAATATTATTTTACCATTGGCACTTTTCAAAATGAAAAACTCTTGACAGCACTATTCCTTAGAACATAATTTTCAAGCTACTGTAAAAGACTGAGGATACTGTTATTTCTTTTTGTTTTCTGTAGTTTAAAATACTCTGGAGCCAATTCCCTCTGATTCCAAGCCTATAACTGAATTTAAAGTGTAATTGTTAATCTGTGCTTCAATTCAAGGTAGTATCAACAGTTTTAAAGATAAAAACTAACTGAAAATGATGGTTTGTTTGAAAGCAGACAGAATGTGAAATTCAGTGTCATTGATGTGTGGCTTATTATTACATTATGGACAAACGCTACATAAGAATCAGTATTCCTTCTGCATATGTGAGATTGATAGAATGTGCTGTTGATAATTGTCATTATTTTTAGAAAGACAGGGTGTTAATTAGATTATATTGTTCCAAGAAGTTTAGGAAATTATCAGTGCATTTGCTTCAGTTTTAGGATATAAAAAAAATAGGTCATTAAGATTCAGAATTGTCTATAACTTCATTAAAAATGATAGCTGGAGACATATATTTCATCCTATAATTTCTGCAGATTGATTCATATCTTTCTCCTTTGAGAGCCCGGCCAGATTTACATCAACATATTTGAGCATATCTGTTTTTCATTAAAATATATATATATATTTCCATTCTTCAATTCTTTCTCCTATCAAGGTGAATTGTGTAGAATATATTCAAGTGGGTTTGTAAAACAAGGTACTAAACTTCATACCAAATTAAAATATATAATCTTTCTGAATTTTAAAGGTGCTGTGGCTTTTTCATCTTCCCGTGCTCATTTCATTAAATGTTCATTTCAAAGCAAAGTTATTTATATGGCTTTAATACACAGTGCATTCTCTCGGATTGTCACCAAGCGCATTTGCATGAGGATAGATGCCTTGAAATGAAACACTTTAAAAAATAAAAATAAAAAACCTTTGGCAGATCTGTTCTGTGATTGAAATATTTGACTTGCTAAATCCTTGCCTCATCTTTGTCTTTTCAGTTTTATTGTTTTAAACACAATGAGGTTAGGCTTCTAATCTAATTGCGTACACAAAAATACTGTGCATGAATGTGAAAGTGAGGAGGGAAATTGATATTTTGAGAATTAATAACAAGTGATGTTGTGAAGGATTCAGAACTATGGTAAAGTGTTTGTTGTGATGGCCTCAGTACAGATGTAACGAGTTAGGCATTTTCTCTTTCCCTTCTTCTACTCTCCTGACCATAAAGTTGTGTCTTCATTCATCACTTTGGCTCCAAACTCACTTGTCCTTTTACCTCAGACTTTGCAAATTTATTTTGAAGCATTTGTAATTCTAAAATTACTTTTAATTATAAAATTGATTTACTGCGGATTCAGGCCTAGCACAAGATCATGGTTAAAGAGTGGAAAGGAATGGGGAAGCGCCCACAATCACATGAGGGTGTTACATCTGTATTGGGCCTCTGCCCATTTATTAATGGAAAAGTTATAGATTTGCTTACAAGATTCTGCCGCCACCATTCCATAGAGTTTCACAATTTTTTTAAAAAGAATCTTGCTAAACAGCAGTCTTAAAACGTAGAGTGAGAATTAATATAAGGCGTAGACCAGGGGTGTCAAACTCGCGCCATCAGGGCGTCGTCACGTGTTGTATCATGATTTTTTCCCCCTTCGCTAAACCAGGCGCGGTAATGGCCAACGTATGATGCATCCGGGCCATGGGCCGCGAGTTTGACACCCCTGCCATAGACAATTTCCTTCACACTACAGTTGATTGCACTAGCAATACATTTAGAAGTTTATATCCCTTGAGGAAGGAAGTATCAGAACGATGGTTTATACTAGAACTAAGTTGGGAAATCTCATGTAACCGACATTCCTGCTGTTTTTAGAAATTCCCATTCTGTATCTATTTATCTAGAATGGGCTGTTTTGCCCCTGTGAACTCTTCTCTAAATGCTTATCTTCTCCATACTTCCTACGTTCCTCCAATGTTTTACATTTTGAACTACTGGTTCAAGACAGAGAAATCTTTTTATACACATTGTTGTGTGAGAAGCATTTTTTAAAGGAAAACTTGACAAAATACACCCAGAATAGTAGGGCCCTATCTACAGGCAATTGTATTTCTGTTTGTCATAAGATGTAACTGAGAATATAACCTCTTGTATACATCTCAAGTAAGAGTTTAACAGAACTTTCCTGAAAGATAAAATAAAAGCAGGATGGAGCTTCATATTCTGAATTCCCACATACAGATTTATTCTCTGCTGTTAGGATGTCAGATCTTTAATATCACTGATTTATGTACTCCTAATTGGCTTCATGGGGGTTCTTGTTTATTTGAGTGGCTAACAAAACTAAATTTAGATTATTTTACGATAATTATCTGAAGCTCACAGATGATAATACGCCATTCCGTTTTCATCTTTGGGGAAGCTTTCCAGCAAGAATAAAAACGGTTCTCCTTTCTGACAGTCTAAATTTGGCATCCATTATGAACGAAATTTACATAGTGTGTGTTGATTAAGGCATATTAAGTGCTTAACATTTTGATCTGAAGTAATGTATGCTTAATTAAACATTCGCTTTGGAATGCCTGGCTTGACTTGATTTTAGTGAAGTGGTTTGATGGCAGTGTTTTTCCTTATTGTAGCTGACGCAAGATGAAAGTAGGCCTACTCTGTACAAATACAGATCAGAAGAACTGGATATTGATGTAAGTACTGTTAGCTCTCTGAATATTGACTTTTTTAAAATTTTATTTTGTTTTTTAAATTAAACTGCTGTGTTTGTAAGTGAACAGCCTAATAACTCTTTCTAGCTTTTTGCAGCAGAGTTGAGTTATACTTTGGGATAAATTTGAACCATTAGGGAAAATGTACAATATCCTCTGCAGGTACTGAAGATAAATCACATAACTCAGGGGTGTCAAACTCGAGACCCGCAGGTTGGATCTGGCCCGCACAGTGCTTAAATCTGGCCCACGCAGTTGCCTTGGAAACAGTGATGGACCAGCCTGCTGTCTGTTCCTCTGCCATTGAAAACATAGCTCCATTTTGCCTGGCAGGAGGCTTCAGGAGGCCATTGAAGCTGAAAACAGCCCAGAAGGGCCACGCACAACTTTCACAAGCTCCGTTTACGCTAGCAGTGTGCTGACAAAAGAAACTACTAGCAAAAGTGGCATTTGATCACATGAGTGAAGTCGAGTTGTCCACGCCCACTCTGGCCAGGTCCCCCTCCAAGGTCAAACACAACCCTGGTGTAGCCCTCATTGAAATGAATTAGACATCTCTGACATAGGTCCTAGCACCAAAATGAGTCAGTCTATACATGGAAGTACAGATAGCCCTAAACTTACAACCATTTGTTTACTGAACATTCAAAGTTACAACTGGAAAAATGTGACTTACGACCAGTTTTCACACTTAACGACCATTGCAGCATCCCCATGGTCATGTGATCAAAATTCAGGTGCTTGTTAACTGGTTCATGCTTATGACCGTTGCTGTGTCCCAAGGTCACGTGATCACCTTTTACGACAAGCATAGTCTATGGGAAAGCCAGATTCACTTAACAGCTGAGTTGCTAACTTACCAACTGCAGTGATTGTGGCAAGAAAGGTCGTAAAACAGGGCAAAACGCACTTAACAAAAGATCTCACTTTACAACAGAAATTTTGGGCTCAATTGTGGTCGTAAGTGACCGGGTGGATGGTGCAAAGGTTGTAACTCTGAAAAACTGCCATAAGTAAGATTTTTTCAGTGCCGTTGTAACTTTGAATGGTCACTAAATGAACTTTTGTAAGTCGAGGGCTATCTGTATTATATGTCTGACGTGAAACTAATCTCTATGTGCAGATAGAGAAATACACCACCAGAAAGACCAGTAGTCCAAAATATGGTACCTTAGAGCAGTGTTTCTCAACCTTGGCAACTTGAAGATGTCCGGACTTCAACTCCCAGAATTCCCCAGCCAGCGAATGCTGGCTGGGGAATTCTGGGAGTTGAAGTCCGGACATCTTCAAGTTGCCAAGGTTGAGAAACACTGCCTTAGAGGATTGATAAAGATGTTTGAAATTCTGTTTCCAGCTAAATGCATGATTTTGACTTGAAAGGTGAAGCTCCGCTGTTGGACATTTTTTTCCCAGTCTCTGCACGCACATGTGTTTATAGAGTCTGTGTATCTATAGTCAGTATTTCAAAGCAGCTATCGGCACGAATTATCCATAACTTTTCTTCTGCACTAGGCTAAGCTTAGCCGATTATGTGAACAAGATAAAGTCGTGCAGGCCCTCGAAGAGAAGCTTCAGCAGCTGCACAAGGAAAAAGTAGGATAATTATATTTATTATTCCAGATTTATGTTATTTTGCACGCTTTATTATCAGAACACTGATAAATGACGTAAAAAGGAAATCAGTCCAATGATGCAGAACATTAAAAAATTATTCTTTTTATTACCGCAGTACACGCTTGAGCAAGCTTTGCTATCGGCCAGCCAAGAGATACAAATGAATGCAGAAAATCCAGCTGCCATACAAAATGTCATCTTACAGAGGGATGATTTGCAGAATGGCCTGCTTAGCACTTGCCGAGAAGTATCTCGGGCTACGGCGGTAAGAAAATGCAATTCTTTTCTCTTAGTAAAACTCACGGGTGCGCTTAGCGATGTCTCTTATTGTAGCGCTGTCTGCGTGTTTTTTTTCTTGCCACATGCTTGCAAATACCGATTCGTCTTGGATTTGCCAAATCTGTAGCAGGTTTAGAAAGTCTGGATGGAAATCATTTTGCTACAGTGGAATAAATGAATGCCTATATTTTAAAAAATAAAAACTGGTAAAATCTGCACGGCCTCTTCTAGCAAAAACTGGAATTCTTCATCAGATGAATTACCTTAGAATATCCTGAGGTCATCAAGCTGACGTATTTATTTAAGCTGTCATTTCCACTCATGGAAATATATCACCACAAATCTTTTAGTTTCTTGTTTCCGTAGTCAAAATAAATCAGATCCCGAGCCTTTTCCTTTGCCATTTCCATCTGTGCTCCTTTTGTGTTATTATCCCCAAGCTGCCCTTTATCAAACTCCTATCTGCTGCTAGACATCCTATTTTTAGATGCCTAGACTTCGACACAGCCTACTAACCTACTTAGTTTTGATGAACAACTACAGGTAGTCAACTTACAACAGTTCATTTAATGACCCTTCGAAGTTGCAACGGCACTGAAAAAAGTGACTTACGACACCGTTTCTCACACTGAAGACGATTGCAATATCCCCAGGGTCACATGATCCAAATTCAGAATGCTTGGCATATTCATGATGGTTGCAGGGTCCCAGGATCACGTGATCCCCTTTTGTAATCATCTGACGAGCAAAGTCAATGGAGAAGCCAGATTCACTTAACAACTCTCTTACCAATGGCAGTGATTCACTTAACAACGGTAGCAAGAAAGGTCTTAAAAATGGGGCAAAGGTCAACAGATTTCTCACTTAGCAACAGAAATTCTGAGCTCAGTGTGGTTGTAAGTCAAGGACTACCTGTAATTAAAGGATCCAGCTCTTTTTAAACAGCTGTGTGGCACACAAGTCAGTTCCACATAGTGGAATACCTAGAGCAGCGATGGCTAACCTTTTTGTCATTGTGTGCCGAAAGCATGCACATGTGCGCCCACACCCATAATGCAATGTGTAACCCCCCCCCCGTGTGCCCTGTCCATGGGCACATGTCCTCCCCGTATGAGCCCTCCCCCCCCACTTTTGATTTCCAGGTTGGTGCAGTAGGCTTACTAGGCCCAAAATGGGGCACGGGGCGGCCACACATGTCCCCCCCCCCCGACGTCCTATTTTGGGTTTGGAAGGCCTCCTGCACCAACCTGGAAGTCAAAACCAACCAACCAATTCCCCAACCAGGTTTTGAACTCCAGACATCTTCATGTAAAATCCTTACTAATTGTTAATGTTGGTGTCCTTCCTCAGCTATGTCAAACATTCATAAATTAAGAAATTAAAACTACTGATTTTCCCCCGCTACAAAGGATGAGGAGCAAATACTGAATGTTTCACTTTCAAACTCAAAATGTTTCAAACACCCATATTTGCTAACTCAACTCAACTCAACTAGAAGATATAGAATTACCTATAGATATAGAATCATGGAACTAGAAAAGACTACTTAGGCCACTGAGTCCTGGTCCCTCTTCAGTGCAAAAATCCAAATCGGTGTTCTTGACAGTTGACTGGAATAGCTAAAATCCATCATCTCATCTTCTTCACACCTCTGAAAGAACTGCAGTTTACCTTTAAAACATCAAAGACTTACAGTATATGATAGTGTTTATGTAGGAACAAATGTATCCTTTGCACTTTTGCACATTCCCTGTTTTACAGCTGAACCAAAAGAATTCCATCTACCCAGTAAGACCTGGTCAATTCTTAACAGGATTAGGATCCAACATGGCAGGTATCCTACTCTCCTCCATCAACGGAGTTGTGTTGCTCCAAAGCAGACAGTGTGACATATTATGGAACAGGGTTCTTTGAGCACATAAACTTCATCATGTAGTGATTATATTTATATATATATGTACAGTCTAGCTTTGGATTTGTAAATAGAATAAATAGTTTCATATTTGCTCATTGAGAATGTAATTGTGACATGCTTTTTGTGGTGAGCCATGGTGGCACAGTGGTTAGAGTCCAGTACTGCAGGCTACTTCTGCTGCCTGCCGGCTGCCTGCAGTTTGGCAGTTCAAATCTCACCCGACTGAAGGTTGACTCAGCTTTCCATCCTTCCGAGGTGGATAAAATGAGGACCCAAATTGTTGGGGGCAAGATGCTGACTCTGTAAACCGCTTAGAGAGAGCTGTAAAGCATTGTAAAGTGGTGTATAAGTGCTAATTGCTTTTTAACATTTTGTCATATGCTAAATAAAAAAATAACATTTGCACTAGCCGCCGTTTAGCATTGGCAGTGCAATATCTGTAACAGTACAATATCTGTTAGAGTCGTACTGCAAAAGATTAGCCATAGCCTTGTTCTGTCATCTCTGTTTTGAGGAGAGAGGCGAAAACAGAAGCTTCATTGAAGACAGTTTTCAGAAAAGGCCGGGTAACCTAAGGTTAGATAGCTAATGTGGATAATGAAGAGCACAAAATAATTTCGGGAGGTTTGCCCCTGTTTTATTGTCTAAAGGAAGGCTTTGATCAGGTACAGCGAGCAAAAATGTGGAACCCATTAAGACTAATAGGCATGCCGAGCTACTTGATTATTCTTTCGAGCAAAGTTCAAAATAAACAAGAAGCTACTGTAAGAACTGAATTTGAGGAAACAAAGAGATTCAGTGTAAGGAAGGGAGTGAAACAATAATGTGCTTTGTCATCTTTTATGATTAATTTACATGGCAAAAGTTTTTGAAAAGGGGCAATATTGGAAGAGATTGCAGCTGTAAACAAAATTGGAGGATGAAACACCAAGAGTTAGAGATATGCAGATGACACCTTTTGTCCGCTGAAAGTCAAATGTACAAAATTTGGTGATCGTGGAGCAAAATGTTCTGGAGGACTATTGGATGTTTGTTCCTAATCTCTTTCCGATTCCTCTCCCCGCCACTCCTGAATCTTCGCTGGAGATTTAATTTCTGAAATTATATTCACCAGCTGAAAGTGGCAACTTTACATATATACAGATGCCTGAAGAAAGGCATCATTTGAATGAAGTTTCAGAGAGGGAAACGGAAGATTACAGAGCTCTCCAGAGCATTCAGTTCCACCTTATGCACATTTCTGCAGTAGTTGCAGAAATGCTCATTAGGAAAATAAAATGGAAAATGAAGAACCTGGGTTAATCTAAAATGTTAAGATGAAGGTAATGCTACTTGTAAATTCACAATGATTGCCATGAAATGAGAATGGTAGACATTTGTATTTTCTTAAACTCAAGAACAGAAAGAGAGGTAGAGAAATTAATCTTGCTCAGGAAGGCAGGGACAAATGTAGACAAGTACATGACATATGCATACTTCTATCATTTATTATTTTTTTATTTTATTTATTTAATTTGTAATTTGTATCATAGAGATCGGAATAGTTAAAGCTGTGCTTTTCCCAATGATAATAGATATTATGATTGATGGACATTACGGAAAAACAAAGATAATTATTGACTTCGAATGATTGATTTAGAGGGAGGTATTAAGAATATAATGGACTTCAAGAAGAACCGAATAAGTCAGTCTGGGACAAGCCTTTGAGGCAATAATTAACAAGTAGAAGCTTATTATTTCTGCAGATGATACATGTTGGAGTTGCACTAGGAAAATACAACCGAATGCATTGCACAATTGAGGGGAGGAGATGGGAAGACAATGATTACAATGGATAGATAAGACTTGGAAATATTATTGTAATCCACCTGGAATTGCTATAGATCCGTGATGGCGAACCAGTGGCACACGTGCCACAGGTGGCACGCAGAGCCCTCTTTGCGGGCATGCAAGCCATCGCCCCCAGCTCAGCTCCAACATCATCCGGACGTGCCTCCCACCAGCAGCTGATTTTCATGTGCCGTGCATGCGCAGTGTGCATGCAGGAGAAACGCACGCATGTGCAGGGGTCATGTGTGCCTGCGCGGAGGGGGGGAGCTCGGGGAGTCCCCACCCTGCAGCCCATTTTTGTTCCCAGGAGCCTGTAGGAAGGCGTACTAGGCACAAAATGGAGCACGAAGGGGTGGGTCTCACACGCGCATGGGCTGGGGGAGCATGGGGATTGTGCGTGCAGGGGTGGGAGGGGGTGACGTGCACAATGCATTATGGGTACGGGGGGGCGCTGTCACACGTATGGAAGCTTTCAGCACAAAAAGGTTAGCCATCACTGCTATAGATTGTCATCTATAGGGACAAGCCAGGATTTGTCCATATGGTCACTAGACGTCAGCCCCAGCTCAGTGGTTCTAACTAATATGGCTATAAATCCACTGACAAATGAACTGAATCCAAGCAGCAAGTGAAAGGACCCTTTTTAGAAGAAGTATCCACATCAAAATCTTTTTAAGGCTTATGCCATACTAAAGAACAGTGAATCATTAGTCATATCAAGTAATGGATGTATGTGAAGGATCAGAATTGAGCAAAAGAAGCTTGCCCCAACTGTTCTATTGGATCTCCTTCCATGAGTTCATTAAAGTGATATTAAGGACAGCCCAGTAAATCCAAGAAACAAACCAAGTGACAATAGAGAAAGTCAAGGGAGGACTTCCCTCTTCATCATTGCTGCCAATTACCTCCCAAAGACCCATTAGATCACACAGGGTGGGCCTCCTCCGGGTTCCGTCTACCAGCCAATGCCATCTGGCTA